TGTTCTCCTCAAGCTCTATAGTTTCCTGATTCATCCTTTTTCTCTATTACATTTACTTTATGTTCTCCTCAAGCTCTATAGTTCTCTATAGTTCCTGTTCTCTATAGTTTCCTGATTCATCCTTTATCTCTCAGTTTATGTGGCCCTTCAACTTTATTTCCTAACCTATTTAATTAGCTTAGACTATCATTCATTGTTTCAACAACTCTTTTACTAGTACCCTCAATCTTGTTGTCCTCCATCATTTTCATCCTGCAAATTCATAATCCTGAGTCACTTCAATCCTTTGCCTTCTGTGCAAATTACACAACTGTGAAAACCAGAATTCACAAATTTATAGCACCCATCCCCAGGTACGTTCTCAGGATTGCCTTTGTTCTTTTTCTTGCCCTTATTCCACGCTTTCCCATTTCCTTCAGTAGCTACTCTGGCATTCCCTTCAAAGCCTCCTGTCCTCTCACATTCAGAAATCCACATTGACCTCTGCTTTATAGAAGAAAAAAAAAGGAAGGAAGAAATAAATTGTGGCTTCAAGTTTATTTACACTTATAGCTATTCTTAACTCTTTCACTCCTGTCTGTGATCACAATTTGGCCATCTCCTGCTCAAGGCAGACTCTTCAGCAGACACTCTAAATTCCATTTCTTCATCCCTCCTTTGGAATCCTGTTCTATAACAATTCTTTCTATTAGCTCCTTCCAATTAGCCATACACACGCTCAAGTACATACCAATTTCCAAAAAGAACATATAACAATCCTTAACCTACTTTCCTTTCTTCCGAACTATCAGTGCCATTTTTCATACTCAAGTTTCTTGAAGGACTATTCTGCTGTCCAAATTGCTTTGCTTCTTTCCTTCTTAATTATTCTTTAATTTACAGAAAACTGGATTCTATATTTAATACTTTACTGAAACTTCACTAATCACCACTACATTTCAAACACAAAGGACACATACAGTTCTTGTCTTACTTAAGCCATTTAGCAATATTTGACTTTTTTGTTTTTTTGGAAATCTTTCTTGGCTTCAGTAATATCATACTTTTTGATTCTACTCCTAAGTCACTTTTTTGCTAAGGCAGCAATGCAGTGGCATAATCAATAGCTTACTATAACCTCAAACTCCTGGGCTCAAGCGGTCCTCCCACTTTGGCCTCCTAAAGGGCTGGGTTTTAGGTGTGAGCCACCATGTCTGGCCTTTTTGTTTTAAAAAGAAATTTATCTTCACATTGGTTGAACATTACCAATAAAAAGAATACTGTGCTATGAATTGAATATACTTAAAGCAACCTTATAAAGTAGGTCCTATTATTCTTCTTATTAAAAGAGGACATGGGTTTGTAGAGGTTCATTTATACAGCTATCTGACCACAAATCCCAGTACCTTTTTAACACTATCAGCATTTTTTTTTTTTGTAGCAATGAGAAGAGTACTTGTGAAGCATATCTTTGAGTTAGTAACTGCTAGTTCTTTGTTTAGAAGAGAATCATGCAGTAGATTCATATAGGTTTAAAAAGTTTTTAAAAAATATTTTAGCTTTATAATTTCAAAAATAATTCAAAAATCTTCTGCATTTCAGCAAACAAAAAGAGCTTCAAGAATTGGCATCTACTAAATCCCATTCACAAGAACAAAATTACTTCTTCCAAATAAGTTTATCTAACATTTTGAATATTCAATTCTTTGATAGCTGATTTTTTTTAAATATTAAGAAAAAATAAAAAATATCAACACAATTAGCAAAAAAGAACTAGCATCAAGGTAAGTTTTTTTCAGGAAGTTCATGTAAGATTATCATATACTTCCTGGAATTCTTGGACACTGTCACTTCATCATCAGTGACTTGCTGTCCTAACTCACAAGGGTAACAGGAGAACGTTCTGTAAAAACCCTATCAATAGGGTGAATCTACCACCTACTACACTGTAACATCCATGGACAGGGCACAAATAATACAGAATTCAAAAGTCACAGTTGCGTATTAATGGGGGGGGGGTCCAGTACGGTTAGCTTTTATGTTTGCTAATAAAGGATTTAATATATACCTCTTTTTATTATTTTACCAAGAAGATCTTCTAATTTAAGCAGCTAACTGAAATATGTGTGTAAAGCATCAGCTTTCATACATAGCTGCACATGGGAACTTCTAGGGAGCTTTAAAACATGTTGATACCTGAGTCCCACCCCTAAAGATTCTTACATAATCAGTCTGGGTTGGGCTGGGCATCAGGATTTTTTAGAGGCTCCTCAGGTGATCTAACGGCTGCTATAATTGAAAATAACTGGTATAAAGGATGGAGGAAAGACTGCAATATTCATTTTACAGTAAAAAAAAAAGTAGGTTGATAAGATGTACACATTCACTATCAGGGGTTGTCTACTTGCATGCCCATCTATAGATATTAATTCAAAGTAAAAATCAAACAATTCCCCCAACAGCATATTTGGTGTTTGATAACTGTGAGTTTCCTAGGGCTGCTGCAACAATGTACCACAAACTGGGTGGATTACAGGAACAGATAAGTAACGCCACCCAATTCTGGAAGCCAGAAGTCCAAAATCAGCTGCAGTATCCTCTTTCTAACAGCTGTAAAGAAAGTCTGTCTTGGGGTGGCACCTGTAGCTCAAAGGAGTCAGTTGCCAGCCCCATATGCCAGAGGTGGTGGGTTCAAACCCAGCCCTGGTCAAAAATTGCAAAAAAAAAAAAAAACTCTTTCTTTGCTACTTCTAATATTTTGTGTTTGCTGGCAACCCTTGATGGCCCTTGGCTTATAGACCATCACCCTAGGACATGGGCATTTCTCCCCATGTCTTTACATCATCCTTTCTCTGTGCATATGTGTCTCTGTATCCAGATTTCCCTTTTAAAAGACACCAGTCATATGGAGATTAGGCCCACCCTAATAATCTCCTTTTAACTTGATTCATTGTGTAAAGACCCTTATAAATAAGGTCACATTTGGAGATGCTGGAGGTTTTAACTTTTTGACATACGCGATTCAACACATAATAATAACCAATTACTCAGATGTTAATGACGCTGTTCCAAAAGAGTAGTTCTTAACCTGGAGGTTGGAAGAATATCACATAGCTTTACTTTTACTAATTCTCACAGAAGTAGTAAGTATGCAGTATGGTGTTTTTCACAATTGCAACATAAGCAACAAATCACAGTCATATTAGTGGTTCTTAGAGTTTTCACCCATAGGAACCATATAGGTATTTTCATCTCTCATTTCAGTATTTGCAAATGCCACAAAAATACCTGTCATAGTCATCATTAGTTTGAAATTATACTTGCTAAAAGATCTGCTAGATCTGGTTATTTAAAGCAACAATGACAAATATATTTAGTAATATATCATGACATAGTATTTTCATACTTGTATTTAATTACAATTGATTTTCATTAAATTGCATTTTATATACTTTAACAACATTATTTTGGGAAGTCCAAATTTAAACAAATCTTTTAACAATCTGTTTCCCCACTTAGTCAATTCTTGCATTTCAGAGATTGAGGTTTTTACAAACTTAGTATTCAAAGAACATACAAACACATGGCTCTGTGCAGGAGTGTTTTTCAAACTTTTCTGAATCATCATCCACAGTGAAAATGTTTTACATGTAACCCAACATATAATCTCTCTCTCTTTCTCTCACATAAACAACACAAATCTAAGATCCAGTATTTGCCCTTGCTATAGGAGATGCACTCTGACACTTTCTATTCTATTTCTTTTCATTAAAAAATATCCACCTATTGAATTCATTTCAAAAGTACTCTGGAACATAAATTAGTCTGTTTAAAATGAGTTAGTGACATTCCTTTAGAAACTACTCATACAGTATAATAAGTGAAAAGTTGTTATTACTGTTATTCATACACTAATTTAAAAATATGTAACATCATTATAGAGTTGGCATTTAGAAAGACAGATAGTTCAACAGCTGACTAGACTCCATTTAGACAAACAGTAATAAGTTTGGTAAATTTTATAATTATGATGGGAGTGTAATTTCAGCTTTATCAACTATAGGAAGGAAAAGTGGTAGAATAATGAATATTTTATGCCTGAATCATTTTAAAACTATAAAAAAATACTTCAAATACATAATGTTTAATTTCATTGAATTATTTCCTCATTCACTATTGTAAAATCAGGTAGAAATTTTTCTCAAACTAACAATGTTTACTTAACCCTGGGCTAAAAAGTTTTACCTGTAATAAACTCGAAGTGTCTGAATTTCTTCTTCCAGTTTTTTGTACTGTTCAACTGCAGTTTCTCTGGCTTGTTGCATAGATAACAACTTTGCCTGCAAATAATTAATATTTTAAGAAGTTTAGTATTAGTTGTGACATGTTAAAATACAGTATTACAGTATAAATAGAAGTTTTAAATTTTTGGTAGTTAAAAAACATGAATATTTTTAGTAATGTTTTATAATTTCTCAGAAAATAGTCCAAATATATTAAAAATAAATACTAAAGTCATACTATATTTAGAAACTTTGTTCAATATGAAACTTCATCCTTATTTATCTTTATCATCAGGTATATGCCCTTCTGCAATGTTTAACTTTATACACGAAATTCAGAATGTGGAACATGGGTTCAGTGCAATATCCAGAGGAGAGATAAGCACAATGGGTGTTTCACATACAAACTGAATGTGGCTCCACTGCCTGATCACACTAGATTTTCTTTTAACTTTATTAATAGTAAAACTCAGAAAATTCTAAATATGTTGCCAAGCCATCTTTGATATTTAATGTGAAAAAAAAGCACACAAGACCAGAACCTGATTCTTCCAGATATGATTTAACCTTTTCAGTCCTTTTCAGCAGAGGAAGAAAGGAAGAATGGTAGCAACCCTGCATACTAGAAACATTTTATTAAAGGAATGCTATTCCTCCTAAATTCCTCCTAAATTATAATATTTGAGTTTTAAAGCATGGGCAATTCATTTTTTCAATAGAGTTCAAAGTAGTAATTTAAAAAGAATTTGCTACTTTCCCACTATTATTCCCATTGAATTTTCAGTATCACCAAAAAGAGTTTTCAGCATAACATATGGTACTGGTGAGTCAGCTAGAATTGTTTATTCAAAGTTTAATTTGCATTAAAAAGTTCTTTCACGTTAAATAGCGTTTGATACATACTACAGAGCAAACTGTTGTCACAAACCCCAAAACTAACTCAATGTCAATAATTAAAAATTGAAATTTTGGAGGCAGAGGTTCAGAATTTTGCTGAACTCATACGATTTCAGGAATGTTATGTAAATGAAATGGAATTAAATAATATGCAGTCTTTGAATCTAGCTTCTTTCATTTAAACATATCCTTTTGAGATTCATCCATATCATTCCAAGTATCAGTAATTCATTCCTTTATATCAACAAGTAGTATTCCATTGTACAGATGCACTTGCCACATGATTAAAATTTGGCTTATTTCTAGTTTCTGGCATTTATTAATAAAGCTTCTATAAATATCTACACATGGGTCATTTTGTAGAAATATGCCTTCATTACTCACCTACGGATGAATTTTCTGGGTCCTATAATAAGTGTGTATTTATATACTTTATACATATAAAATTATATACTTCACATAAAAAACTTGTTGCCTACACTGATGTAACTTTAAAGCATCTATGCTTAACTAAAATTCCAAAGCTACTGTTGAATGCCTACTATGGATTGGGCATTGTACCATGTGCTTGAAATACATTACTATCACCTCCTCACACCCAATTCATGAGGTAGTTTTTACCAACCCTATTTTACAGGTGACAAACTGAGGTTCATGGAGCTCAAATAACTTATAAATATAACAGAGCTAGTGATTGACAGAATCCAAATACAAATTTAGGCCTGCTTGATCCAAAATACATAATTTCCCTTTTATACCACTATATAACAATACACACACACACATATATATACACACACATGTAATATACATATATGTAGTTTATATCTTCATATAAATAAAATTATATATGCATATAAATCCAAGACAAACAATAGAATGTAATCATCATTTGATAACAAAGTTACTGACAGTAACAGGTCACGTAATAACCAGAGTGTGTTTTACATCTTCAGTATCTTCTTACTATACTATAAGTGATTGAAAATAGGTTGACTAACTGAGGTTAGTCTTGTAGTTAATCCCATTACATACTTATCTTGATAGAAATATTGAGCAATGTCATTTAAACAGGATAATCATTTGTACTGGCACTATATTAGAAATTAACTGTATTGTTTCCTTACAGTTTTATCTAGTAACTTAGAATGACAAAGAAAAACTATTGTTCACATCACTGAACACTATTTGTTATGGGTATTATGGAAAAACCACTTTTATCTCTCTTTAAAATCTTGTTATGTTTGGTTTAAATGTGTTTTTAATAGTTACATTTTGATATAGTTAAGCTTTCCTTTGGTAACTCCCAAGATCATTAATAGAAATTGGTTTTTATCATAGAACAGAAGCATTTGATCTTATGTATGTGATATCAGCTAAATAAAGAAACATACTGTACAAACTAAATCACAGAACCAAATAATTTTAGACTTGGAAAAGATCTTAAAGGTAATATAGTCTCCTACTGTTATAGATGAGGAAATTGTTGAGAATACAACATGTTCAGGAAAACAGCTGGGAATCTTCCAAGGTTTCATAGTTGTTAGACAGGAAATTGGAAACAGAATACAATTGTCCAGAAAATATTGTTTATTTTACACATAACATCACCTTAAATATGGTGTAACTTAATATGTATGTTAATTATTTTAATAATTAATAAATCTATTTTAATATTATTGACAGAATAACCGTATTTATGGAATAACCGTAAATACATTTGGTTGTGCTACACTATTGAAAACATCTATGAACCACGTATATACAGCCAACTGATCTTTGATAAAGCAAACAACAATTTGTGAAAAGAAGCCTTATCAACAATTCTGCTGGGGAAACTGGATACCCTCATGCAGAAGAATGAAACAGAATTCATATCTCTCACCACTCACAAAAAAATTAATTCAAGATGCCCTTAAGACTTAAAGGTAAAGCATGAAACCATAAAAATTCTAGAATAAATGTAGGAAAAACTCTTCTAGACGCTGACCTAGGCAAAAAAAAATTGTTACTAAGACCCCAAAGGCAATTCTAGCAACATAAATAAATGGGACTTGATTAAATTAAAAGCTTCTGCACAGTTAAGGAAATCATCAACAGAGGAAACAAACATCCTACAGAATGAGAGAAAATATTTGCAAACTATATAGCTGATGAAGGGCTAATATCCAGAATCTACAAAGAACTCAAATGAATTACCAAGAAAAAAAACCCAGACCTAAAACATGGGCAAAAGACATGAACAGAAGCTTATCAAAAGAAGAAAGACAAATAGCCAATGAATAGATGAAAAAATGTTCAATGTCACTAAGCATCAGGGAAATGCAAATTAAAACTACAATCAGGTTATCACCTTACCCTTGTTAGAAGAGAGAAATAAATGCTTATACACTATTGGTGGGACACTAAATTAGTATATCCTCTATGGAAAACAATAAGAAGATTCCTCAAAGAACTAAAAGTAGACCTACCATTCAACACAACAGTCCTTCTATAGCGTATTACAAAGGAAAAGAAGTCATTTCATCAAAAAGATAACTGCACTTGAATGCACCATTGCTGCACAATTCACAAAGATGTGGAATCAACCTAAGTGTCCATCAATTAATGGGTGGATCAACCAAATGGGATACATGAACTACTACACGGAGTACTACTCAGCCATAAAAAGATGAATTAATGCCTTTTGCAACAATTTGCATGGAACTGGAGAGCATTACCTTAAGTATCTAAAGAACAGAAAAACAAATACTACATGTACTTACTATTAAATTAGAATTGAGGAGCACATATGTGCAGAGAGAAATCAAGCATGAGGGGATAGGCAAAACCTATCTAACGATACAATGAACACCAATTGGATGATGGGCAGTTGTATAACCATGACTCAGGAATTACAAAAGTGATCCATGTAACCAATAATAATAATATTAATTAAAACATCCACAACTGTCTAATCAGATATACTGTTTGAAGACACAGAGAATTATACAACTGCTCACAGTATAGTTCTCCCAGGATTTTATTTTTTAACCTCAGAAGAAGGTTAAGAACCTGGTAGAATAGAAATATAATTAAGTATCTATCTTGCAAAAGGATGCCAAAAATATTAAAAGCTCTTATCAAAAGGATACAAATGATGAGATTTCAATTACACCTGCCCTTCACAGGAAAATCTGGACGGCTTACCACAGTACACGTCATCAGCGTATTGCTCGTTAGAGGAGATTCCACAAGGGTTGTTGTGTTTTGTCTTCCTGTCATGCCTCTCTCAGTTTATCAGACCAGAGGTGATCGTATTCCTCACTGAAAAGCAGCCATATAAGTGCTATCTAGAGCTGTATGAGGTGGTCTGACATAATGAGAGAAGAAAGAAAAGAATTCATGGTGGGAGCAGATATAAAAACATTTATGTACAGAAACCAGTTCCTGAGTAGTGAGCAGAAGCCATGGTACACAGAAAGGTAGAGCAGACAGAAGTGTGTCAAGAAGATAGTAGCACGGTGCATGGGAGCACTGTTAGCGACCACAACAACCGGGATCACACTTTTGCTCCACCATGTACAAACTGTCTGACCTTGGCAAGTCTGTAAGTCTTTATGTGCCTCGATTTCCTCATATACAAAATGAGGTAATTATACTCTACATCATAGAGTATACTAGAAAAAAATGAGTTAAATTTTGTAAAACATTTATGACAGTGTCTGATGCACCGTAAATGCTTTAATAAGTGATTATAAATAAACAGTAAGAACACAAGAAATAGCTCAGCAGATGAGAAAGCTGTGATTTGCTCAAAACAAGTAAAGAAAACAAAAATCCAGTGTAGACCTGGTTCTTTCCTGATTTTCTATATATTGATGTAAGCATTTTTAAAAATAACTCATACAATTTATTTTAATATGAGATCTAAACCTTTTCTAGAGGCACACATATATTTGGGGGGTGTTAGTCTATTTAGCAACCAAAGGCCATCAATAGTGCTTTCCCCAACTCTGCAGATGCTGGCCAAAAAGTAATTTTATAGCTTCTTAGAAACATTAAAAATAATACATAACCTAATTTAAAGGATTGATGCTATCTATCTATTTCTCTCTATCATAATAACTAACTCCCAAGGAACCCTTCCCTGGGGGAGGTGGCACAAGTGTCCACTTACC